TGACTTTTTTGATTTTAAGTAGTAAATATTGAAAAATGCCTTCCAGTGTTTTTGGCATTCTTCTCAAGTACTTTGGTGTGTGGTTTGAACTGTGCTGCACAGCTGTTGTGCAATGAAGTGATGGTCTGCCAAAAACTGATCAGTAGTTGCAATAAGCGCAACTATGCTACTTTTTTATTATGTTATTATTTTTACGTTGTTTCTTTATTTATTTTTAAATCTCTAATCTGATCATTTCTGGATTTGTTTAGCTTCCTCTTCTCTGAAAATTTTATTAATAAATTACATTTTTGTATTCTTCTATATGCAAGAATGCCATGAGTTTTATTTATTTGTTTGTATGAAATCTTCCCCTGGGTTAAATATCTGGATCATTACAGAAGAGAATTAAGGCCACAACAAAAGGGAACTTAAATCAAAACTGAGATCAAAAAACTGTGATCTCAGAATTTGTATCTTAATTTTAGAATTTTTCATTTTGAAAGTCAGAATTTTCTGAGATTTAAGTCAGAATTCCCCCCTAAAAACGATATAATTTTTTAAATACTTCTGACTTTAATTTCAGCATTGTAATTATTTTCTAAGAATTCTGACAATTTAGAATTCTGAAACTCAGTAGTAACAGAAATGTATCAAAATTTCCAGATCAAAGTTGGAATTCTGAGATTTAAGTAAAAATTCCTAAAAAAAAAAAATTAAAAAGATTTCTGACTTTAATCTCAGAATTGAAACTGTTTTCTAAAATTTTTGGAATTTAAAATTTTGAAACTGATTTATTAGAGAAAGTTTAAGAATTCAAGAAAAACAGACTGAATTTCAATATTAAAGTCTGATTTCTGAGACAAAAAGTAAATATTCTGTGAAATTTCAGAAACATAAGTATTATGAGATTATTATTTTACTTTTTGGATCATACACTAGCCTGAAATAGTAAATAAAAGGCATAGCTGCCCTCTGCACAGGTCTTTACGGGGTGTGACAGAAGAGGAGAGAAGACATCCACTGCCCGGTCTACTTTAGAGGAGTAAATACTTTGTGCTTATAAGGAGATATTTTGTCTCACCAGTGTGAGAAGATGGAAAAACTTTGGACTTTTACTGGGTGAAGTTAGTTTTATAGGTAGAGTATAAGCTTCTAGAGCTCTGTTTGATTCAGCAGACTGCTCTGTTAAAGGAATTAACATCTGTGACTTTATAACAAAGGTTTTTGCTATATAACATTAACATCATTAACCTCAACAAATATGCTAACAGATCCATAATGTTGACAAGTGGCCTTGTGTTAGAAATGAGCTTCAATAAATATCCACACTCTGCTTATTCAATCCTCCAGTAACCATGTGAGGTTATTTATTTTGTATACAATAAATACATGCAGACAAGGGTGTATGGTTCAGGGAACCTGCCACCCTTTTTTATGGTGCAATTTTGCCAGGCAGATATATGGAAATGAAAGAAATAGAAATAATTACTATGTCTATTTAACATTTGTGCTGTGTTTTCATTATCTGTAGTGCATATTTTAAAGCCAGCAAAAACACATAGTAGGAAATGGAAGGTATCTTTACAAATAAAAAAAAAAAAGATACTTCCCATAAAGCAGCAGCATAAATCAGTATTTGCCTATCTCTTCTGATAACACAGAAACAATTATTACTCATGCCCTTTGCATGCAAATTTAACTATATTAGAGATCAGGGATTTTCCACCCAATGAGCTGGTGCTCATGGGAAATGCTGCCTTCCTTCAGGTAAAATAATAATATGGCTTTTGTCCAGTGTGGGGAGCCATTATCACCCAAAACTAAAAGTTGTTTTGAACTGCTTTAAGTCCATCCTGAGATATCAGTTCAAGCAACTGTTAAAGCAATAAATTTGACATTTTAACGCTGGTGGTGGTTCATGTTAAGCATTAGATTTGGTCCTGCTTTCTCCTATGTCTGAAAGTAGCTGGGTTTTATTATCCTAGGCAGCACTTCTCTTGCTGTACTGCACCTGCAGCTTCCTGATCACATAAAGCATAAATGGGATATGTTGACTGTTTACAGGCACGTAAACTCAAAAATCTCTTCTCAAATATAACTTAATGCTTTTAAACCAACATTTTTGCCTAAAAATAGCTGAGAGAAAATAACTTTTTTGTTATAGGTTTGAAAGCAGAGTGTGCTATTTTTACTGTCTGGAAATGATTTCACAAATGAAAAATGTATCAGATTCAGTGCTCAAAATGTAGAGGGACACTTTATATTTTATTCATTCACCACTGAGGGAATTTAACACTTTAATGTTATGGAATTCCATTACAGCTCCTTAAGAAACGTACACATCACACAAAACAGTGTATGAACTGCAATCATTTATTTATCTAAGTTATAAAAGAGGTTGGCTGCCTGAAAAAAAAAAACCCATACATTTCACATTTGAATAAACATTGTCTAAAATAATGTTTATTCTATTGTGTCCATTAATGTTGTAGCACTCTCACTTTGGACACTATCTAAATATTTACACAGCCACAGAGTTAACATTGATAACTCTCACATCTTTGTGCATTCGGCTTGAAATAAAGCGATAACTAAGCTATTTGGGCACAGGTACTGATATTAAACATGTGTGGTGAGGATATCTTCTCCTCTTTTCATGATTGTCACCTACCGCTGAGCAACAAAGTGAAGGTGCAATATCCCCACTCACTCTCAAGCCCTTTAAAGGCACTGAGTGGGTTTTAATAAGAGGCAGAGTGGTTAGTGGTGCACACCATGGTCTTCAATGGGATTAAAAGCCTTTGAATGGTCTAGGCCATTAAAGTCTAGAAGTCCTGCAGCGCGTTATGAGCATGTTTATCACAAGGATTAGCAAACACAGCAAAAGCAATCACCCTAGGAGCACAGGCACCTCTACTTGTTCTATTATCTGACTTGCTGAGCAGCTGATGATAAGAGTGATTCGGCAGCCCTGAAAGGTAAAGCTTTGGTCCCAACTGTAAGCTCTACACCTGCAACATCTAGGAATTGTGATTTTTTTTAAAGATTTGCCAAACCAGTAGGGTGCTTGAGATGAAAAGGAAATCTTGTTTTTAAGAACGGGTGATGCCTTTCAAAAGTATCTATACCCGTTTTTTGCAAACTTTGTCTTCTTTACTAGTATATTAGGTAATCTACGTAATATAAGTTGTAGATAACTAAGTATATGTAATAAATTCTAATGGTTGCATACATCCTGGGGTTCTTTTTCATCTACCATTTCCTAACAGTGCATGCAGCCGTTAGCTTGGGAGGATCTATCAGATGGGTTCCAAATATTGTTTAGACCCTAACTCATAACCCTCTCTTATTGGTGGGCCAGTAGTTTTAAGTAGCCATTATATTCACCCTTACTGAAAGCTAGCTCATTTCTTTTCCGTCTCCTCTGTCTTTCTTCTGACCATTATTTTCCTCTCACTTTCCATCATCTCCACTGCTGTTGATAGCTTCCAGGCCTGAACAGGGGAGCTTCCTTCCTTTGTTTCTGCAGTCCTGAATCAGTCCTTCGTAGCGCTCAGTTTTCCTCCTTAAATGCTTTTTCTTAAAAAAAAAAAATGCAAGTCCCTCTACAGTGATCATCCCTGCTTATGTTGAGAGAAGAGCTGCATCAGCCTCAGGGTAGTATGGATGATGTCTGAGAACTGGAACCTCCTCTTCAGGTCAAATCTTAGCTTCCGTTATTAAGTAGCCTGCAGGAAAAAAAGAGTGATGTTGTTGATTCTAACTTCCCTTTTTTCCATCCCTCAAGAGGTTTACTAAAAAACATTAGTTTAACATCATGAAGAATAAGGATGAGATTTCAGTGATATGATTTTGGAGCAGAATAAAGTGAGGTTATCAAAAACTATCTACCAACTAAATCTACCATAAGGCAAGAAGTATTCTACAATAGCACTGTTAAATCAATCAGAAAATGGAAACTATAGGACACAACTGCAAAGGGTGATGGTAATTTGGGGGGATTTGGAAAGTGAAATGAGATTAAATATTCCAGAAGGTTTCACACAAAGTAGAAAAAAAAAGTGAAAAGAAATAGTTAAATCTAGATATCTTTGCCACATGAATGACAAATATGTCACTTAATAAGTCTTACATATTAGTCAGTTTAGATGATAATTGATTAGTGTTTGTTTTGTCTATCTGAAATAAGGACCAGGGGGAAAAAAAGCCAAATTTAAGTCGTAAACATAACCATATTCCATGGTAAACTTTAACCTTTATAAAGAGATCAGTGCTACCACCTATCTCCTTTATCTTGGTTGTGAGAGAGAGGCTGAACCTTTCCCTCTGTCTACGTGACCCAGAATGCTGTACACCTCTGGTTCAGTGAAATTATAGAACTTTGGTGTATTTTCATTTGATATTGTTGAGGTTCTTTTCACCATACGTATGGTTAATGGTTTTCAGCTTTGCCCTTATTTAAACCCTTGGGTGAGTGAGTTCCTACATTTACCTGGAGGAGCTGTAAAATTCAACAGTTGGTGGGAGAATTCGGTATGAGGAGAAATATCGCGGCACTGTACAGTACAGTTTTTCACAAGTCAAGTCAAACTCAGACATAAATCATACTTCAAGTAAGAAATGCTCTCATTCTAGTCGACTGATTGTCCCTTATTTGCAAAAATTATGTGTAGAAATGTTCCTCTACATGTGCAAAGATGATGGAGACATACAGCAAAAGATCTTCGCAATAGCATTAAAAGTTGGTTCTACAAATTATTGACTCTGGCGAAGTGATTTAAATTATAGATAACATTTCCTATATGTTTTTGTAAAGAGAATTTAAGCAATCATTCATTAAGACGTACTACTTTGTTTCTCAAAATCGCAAATGAAATACATTGATATTTGTGGCTGTAATATGACAAAACATGGACAGGATAAAGATATTTTTTCTTTAAGCCGTCTTCTGTAACACTGATGTTGAGCCATTTGACTTGTGGTTCTAACTCATTTCCTGCTGTTTGCACTTTTTAAAGATCTTCCACATGACCTATGACCTGGCCAGCGCCATGGTGAGAATAGTCAACCTCATCGGTATGATGCTTTTGCTGTGCCACTGGGATGGCTGCCTGCAGTTCCTGGTGCCCATGCTGCAGGACTTTCCAGCTGACTGCTGGGTCTCCAAAAATAAGATGGTGGTAAGTGCTCTTCTTGGACAGTCTTGTATGCCCTGTTTAATCAGATTACACCTATGTCTTATCTTATCCATCACCTCCAGTAATTACTGTATTAAAACCCCTTTAGCTTCCTGTGAAAGACTGTAATGCATATCTGTCATATTAAAGGCCAAATGAAATAGGTGTATCTGCTGCACTGGTAGACTTTTATTCAATTTGGTGATGACTAAATTTTAAGCAGGTCTACTACACAGTGTAAAAAGGTGTCTTTTTTAACATAAGTGTCACCAGATAATGCTTATGCTTGTACCTGCCCTTCATTTTTTTAAATTCTTAAAAAAAACAAAGTGTTGCATTTGCTAAAATCTGCCCCATTAAAGAGCTTCTCTTCAGTAGTTAATGCACATACAGAGTGACCCTAACAGTCCTATCTCTTTTCTGGAGGTAAGGATAAACATACTGAAGTAGACTAGTAAATCAACATAGATCCAAGTCCTGAATAACACAGCGGGTGAAATGGCTTCCTCACTGATAGCTTATCAATACACTTGTCAATATAAGAGCTATCAGGGCCACCTAAAGCCCTTTATATAATAGAATAAAAGACTGCATGAGTGAAAATGTTCTTGGGTGACATTTCAACAAAGCATGCACTCTCTGTTAGCTTGCTCTCTGGTGTTCTCTAAAGTGTCTGCATATACCAGGAAGATCTTTAACAATTTGTTCTCATGAAAATCAAAATCCTACAGCTTACGCATCCATCAAATCACTTTGTTTAAGTAACATGCTTATTTTAGTCAGCTAAGGGAGATTATTTTTTGTTCTTTTAGAAGAAGGATGTTAGAGTCGAGCAGAAAACCAGACATTTAAATTTAAAACATCATAGAACCTGAGTTTAATGTAGTTGCATGTCACTAAATTGATTTGAAAGGCATTTAAAAACTTTTTTTCTTAGTAATTCAATTCAGGAAAAAAAAAAACATATTAGATAGATTCATTATACAGAGATCTGTTTCTGTAAAGCATTGCCTCTTTAGCTGCTGTTGCTAAAATTCTTGTACCAGAACAGATGTCACATGGGTAGTTATGTCTCTCAAGGTAGGATGTTCCTGATTCACCATGCATCGCTGCTTCCATGACAAGCTCACTTGTTTCACTGAGTCTGCTTTGCTAATGTTTAAGCAGCACAATAGGCACAAGTTGCAAACTTCTTCCCCTGAGATGTTTCAGACTTTATCTAATTTTAGTCGCACTTCTGTTCATTTGTGCAGAGATATGCATTCAGGTGAGAGTTGCTGCTCAGGCAGCGTGTTATTACTTGAGATCAGACTAGAAACTACTTTGTATCTTTTTGATTGAATTTAATTGGAATCACGTAAAACTATATTGGAAATGTTGTGTTCATCCAGTTCAGTACTTCTTTTCAGCTGTCTCTGAGCAGCATGCAGATTATTTCCCCCAGTCAACTTGCTGGAGGTTGTATTAAAATCTATATGATTGGTTGATAAACATTGATACAGAAGAATAAAATGTTAGTGAAAGACATGCATGTTCATTGTCTTGTAATATTGTTTTAAAAAAAAAACATATATTATTCTTTTCATTTACTTGACATTTCACTTTTTTTTTTTTTTATATTGTGGCTTTCAAAACACGATTATCCTATGTGTATCTGACTTGTTATTTGAAAATATTTTGAAATGAGTACCGTAAATATAATTTCCCAAACTGATATTGAAGACAAGAGCCTTAATCTATAACCACACAATTGCCAATATAAAAACACGTGATGTTAATGATTTATAATTTTATAACTCTCTTTCTTTCTAAAAATAAAGATTTTTTCCATAACTACCATCCATTAGTTAAAGGTATAGTGGAGGATTTTTGCAAATTTTTGAAAAGACCCACTCACTCCACTTAAAAAAAAAAAAAAAAAAAAAACGAATTTGCACATACCTGTAACGGCTCCTGAGAGGGAATGCCCATTAAAAGCATGCAAAAGCATGCACAAGCCCATTTTTCCGTGTGCACGCTCTTTTCATACAAGCTTACTTTCCAGAAGAAGATTTGGAATCTTTCCGCTATGTAAGACTCACCACCGGTAAGTGAAATAGGGATGAGCACATAGGATGGCCTTAGGTAAACATATAATCAGAATGATTGACAATTAGGAGGACCACTTATTTTGATGATCCACCCAGAAAAAGAACATCCTCCAAAGTACCTTTAACAGTCCACATTTGGACACCAAAGCATTCAAAATCTACAAAGACATTTTAATCTGAGTCTGAAAAAAAAAGAACAACAAGATTTTTCAGACATAGATTATTTGTTAATATTTGCATTCATCTCTACAATTAGCATTTTATCATTTGTATCTTCCTGCTTTGCAATTTCTTGGGAAATATGAAAGCATTTTTTAAACGGAAATAAAGGTCACCCAGGGAAATTGCCTTAAATGTCTATTCCCTTTTTGACAGGTTATTTCAATGTTGTTAAAATAAGAGTATATTACATAGATCTCATCCATTAAACGCATTTTATATAGCTAATAGACCTCCCATATTTAAGCACAAGTATTTTTCTTAGTCACAGTTTTTAGTTAGGGAATTATATTGAAAATGTCATTTCAAGATACCGCCAAGACTGAAAAGAAATGTACGGTTGCCTTACATGGAAACTGTTTATTACTTCTTTTGGTAGGTAGTAACAAATTTGCTCTTTGTATTAGCTTTTCCATGGTGCAAATGATTTTAAAAGCAATCTGGACATGTCACCCCCAGGAGATAGTTATTGATTTGCAATGAACCACCATTGGGATTTAAAGGGAAAAAGGGGCAATTTATCTACAAATGAGAAAACTCAAGCTGAAATCACATTTTTCTAAATAGCTGACCTACTTTCTCTCATGCAAGCCTGCCATGTCTCTCGCTCTTTCTGCCCATTTCCAGGGCTCTGTTTTTAGGCTTCGACCCAAACGTCTGCTGCCTCCAAATATTTACATATTTTTGAGTTTGTGTTTCTCTGCCAGCTGCCCTCCTCTGAACTAAGATGTTTGAAAGTTGCAGCCCACAGTAGCTCTGTCCCAAGCGAGGGTAGCTGTGATGGTAAAACGGACCTTTCATGTGCAATCAGTGCCATCATTTGAGACAGGCTAAAGCCAGGATGTGTTATAATGTATTCCATCTAAGTCACCTGTCCTGTTCTCTTCTATCCAGAATGACACATGGGGACAGCAGTACTCCTACGCACTTTTCAAAGCTATGAGCCACATGCTATGCATTGGGTATGGCATGTACCCCCCAGTGGGGATGACGGACGTCTGGCTGACCATCCTGAGTATGATTGTGGGCGCTACGTGTTACGCCATGTTTGTGGGGCACGCCACTGCACTCATCCAGTCTCTGGACTCTTCTCGGCGCCAGTACCAAGAGAAGGTGAGTCAAATGATACCTTTTCCTTTCTTATGCTCGTAAAAATGAATCCTTTCACCCTTTTTCTATTTATATTTCATATTTTTACACTTTATAGCCAGAATGGAACATTTTGTTTTGTTTGCTGACCTTAAAGTCTTTTGCTACCTGGCAGCATGTCTTGCATTGTAAAATATTCTTCACAATTCTCAACAACTTCTTTGTTTTGATTTGTCATAGACAAAAATTATAATTGTTTTTTGTTTTCATTTTCTGCAACTCATGAATGAAATTTGTTTCCTGACTTGGTACTTTGTGATGAGAGTATTTAAATGAAAGATTTTAGAGTTTTCTGCATTTTTTCCACTTAGTAGAAATAATTGATTTACCCATGTTGCACAGCTAGTAGATTTATCAACAGATTCCACCATCTGACAGTGGATCTCTGCAGTTGCTCTAAATACTCTGATTGCCCATCCTGACATATTTAGCTGGAAGGTCAAATCTTGGCTTTCAGCTGTAATGTACAGCTTCCATTTTTTGGTATTACCGGGATCAACAGATCTCTGGTATGTCTTCTTTAAGCTTCATCAAAACTTTGCTTTCTTAATGATTGTGTCCATCTGAAGCCCTTGTGGAACAACTGTATTTAAAATGAATTCCTTGAACAGAGCTGGTATTTGTTTACAAGTTAGATTACTTCTGAGGGTAAGTGGGTATATTGGAATTTATATTTTTTCAGGGGTTTAAAAGTGCAGGTCCATGAAAACAAATGCTGTGTTTTCAGATTTTTATCCATTGCAAATATGTAAAAACGCCATTATGTGCTTCTTTGTCTTGGTCTATCAAGTTCAATCCAAATAAAATACTAAATTTGGATAAGCAGTATAAATATTTTTGCAAAGCGCCAGTTAACTTGTGCAATGGAGTACAGCCTTCAGCTTAATATTGACACTACTGTGGGTAATATTCACTGTAATCGCATAATTAATAGTTGCTTTTTTTGGTTTGTTTATTTCTTTAACTATGATTTTTGACAGTAACTCAAAACAGCTTTATTTTCTATGAAGAAACTCCATCACGTATGAAGGACCAAGGCTTAAATCTATGACCAAAGTGTGCCAGGCTTTTTTTGTCGAGACCTAAAAAAAAAAGGTCCTAGCCAGCTGTGAAAACTCAAACATGTCCCATTGTGACATGCCCTCTGTAGGCCCAACATGGGCGATAATGAGCTGAGCTCTAGGCTGCCTCAATGTCCACTGTCTGAGGCGTGGTGCAGACATGAGAGACTGACCTCTAGAGAACAGTGGCAGAGACTCGAGAAATCTCACCTAAATGAAAGGGGGAATGTGGGAGTGAAAGAGTGCAGGAAGGCAGACAGGCAGATGTAACAAGTGGATGGTGGTACGTCTTTGAATGAAGACCAGATCTGATGACAAAAATGCATACTTCTAACATAATATGTAGTTAAAAAAAGTCTTAAGAACTACAACAAAGGTTCTGAACTTAGGTTTTATACATTTGATAAGAATGGTGCAAAACTAGTAACCAGCTCAATACACTACTCATGCTGGTTGAATGGCTTAGAGATATTTTGCTAATATGCAAACTGAACAGCTGGCCTGTCTCAGCACCAGTCTATGTGCTGCTGAACCCAGTTGCTTCCATTTCTAGCATACAAATCCCTCAGCAGGCTGTAAAAAAACATAATCCATGCTCCTTCACAGTGCATCTAAGGAAATATGATTTCTGCATTTCATTTTTTAGATTGTGGACTCTTTTCACAAGTGCCAGCGATAAAACACACTCTGCTACTTCCTGCTTTTTGCTATCCATGCTCAACTTTTATGCATTTTGGTTTCAAAATGAGAAAAAAAAGAATACTTCACCAGTGGATATTCTTTCAGCTGTGGGATCATCTTCCTACTGAAGTGTTTTCTCTATGTTTCCATCTTAGACTAATTCCACTAACCCACATCCTCAAAGAGTAGACAATCCCTGGAGTACTTAGGAGACAGGTGGCAGTTTTTAGAAGTCCACTGTGCAGCCATGTCAGGGACACGTGTTCCTTTTTGCAGCAATTCAGACTGCAGAGGACCCTGCTGAGTGAGGAATCAAACCCAGGTTTCTCGATTTTACAGTATGCACGATTTTAACACAAATATTTTTAACTTGAATTTATTATTAATAAATAAAAAATGTTGGTATTTTATTAGCATTTTGAAAGCATTGAATATATCTTAGTCTTCTTTTATAAACTGCACACAGCGTTCTTATGCTTGCACAGATCTGTCATTATTAATGCCGTTTTTCTTTAATGCTTTTCTCATCTATTTGAATAGAAACACATATAATGAGAAAGGACATGTGAACTAATATATATACTCATTACATGCACACACTTTGCTTGTGAAGTGAGTCTTCTTTCAGTTTATGGGGGTAGATTAGAAATAAAGTAGCTCCTAAATGTGATGTTTTGAGAAACTATGTTTTCAAAAAGACACCTTCTTTACAAATAGAGTCCAAATGTGTGTAATCTCACACAGTTTATAAATATAATGTTGCTGTTCTGGGAAGGCCTCTGAGGTTTGTAGAGAAACATCATCATGGAGATCACTATGATCACTATCACCTTGCTGTCACAGTGGCCCGCTGTCTGGTAGCGACAGCGGCGACTAATAACAAAGATGGCGTGACCCACAGAGCAAAAAGCAGTGATCAACCGTCCGAACTGTCAGTTAACTAACTTTGCTGTAAAGTCCACTATATAGTCACTGCTGTATGTGGACAGGGTAAACTTGTATGAGCTATGAGGACAGCAGATTTTAAAACAGGGCATGCACGAGGAGAAATGGACTCATCCATGCTCTTGCACAAGCATTTTTTAGTAAGTGGAGGGTCTTTTAAAAAACCCTCCACAATACCTTTAATTGTACATTTGGCAAATATGGTGCTTAATGTCAGAGTGCTGACAAAACAGTGTTAAAAGAAAGCCCCAAAAAGACCTCTTTGTATATACCAAAAGACATGTAATGGACACCCAAACATGTTAAAGAAGGTATATTTATAGCCAGAGCTACAGTAGAAGGTTATAAATCACTGAATGAAAAGAAAGCTCTGAAAATCTTTTGAGACGGCATTTAAATAAAAAATTTAAAACTGTGCAAATAAGATGTCTAATTTGATAGAATGTGATCTTCTTAATCTAAGTACCATACTGTTTCAATTTCTAAATGTCATGATATGTCAACCACTGTGGGTCTCTGCTTCTGATCTTCACATGAAAGCCAATTATACACTGGCTGTCTTTTCATATGTGGTTAGCAAAGCTGGCGGTATGTTGCAAAATAAACTATACATATGGTGCATAACCTAAGTGTGTTAAATCACAGGTAAAGCATAACCCAACAGAGAACAAACAGCAGGAAATAGCACTAACTGCTTTCACCCCCCGTCACTGTGGTATGTTTGGTGAAACAAATCAACATTTAACAATTGGAAAACTTGTGATACTGGATCCTTAATGAGCCAAGCAGAATCATTGCCAATTTAATGTTTCCTGCTGGTTTTGATATGTCAGGGGTTGTGTTCATCTGCTGTAAATGAGGCGTAAAGAAACAGAACAAAAGCCTCTAACGGCTATATGGCAAAGATGAGAGACCATCTGTCCTACTGGCATGCAGAAGTGATATCCAGGTTACTTTTATATTTAAATGAGAAAGATTTTACTAAAACCCCTAAGAGGGATGATTACAAGGAAAACCAGCCTGTAAAGGCTTCTCACAAGTGTCAGATGGCACAAAGAAAGGGAAATTTTCTCTCTTAAAGATAGACAAAGTTATCATCACAAAACAGAAGTGCATGATATTGTAGTAAAATATTGCATAAAATGATGTGTCAGGCTTCCAGAATTAAACAAGTACAGTTTAATGAACTATTTTGAATAAGGTAACAAGGCCCTACTAAAAAAACTTAAAGAAGATGAGATGTGGTCTAAATTGAGATAAAAAGTTACTTAAAAAAAAATTCCTCAATAGAAAAGTTTTACCATTTTTTATCATGTTTTTGGTTTATAGGAAAAGAAGAATAAATTATTTTTGTTTTAAAAATGGTTTATTAACTGCATTTGGACAACAGATAAATAAGGTATTTAATTTATTATCCTTTGCAATATATCACAATTCTTAATGCATTGCTTCTAGAACAAGAAACAGAATGCAAATAAGCCATATTGAACTTTTTAGGCAACACAATGTATGGACTGGGGCCATATAATAGTGATATGAACAGAGCTTTATTTCAATAATACAATGTTAATAAAGCACGTTCCCATTGACCTGGAGAAATTTCAAGTAATTTTTTTGCAAGCACTTAATAATCTATCTATTATGATTAATAACACACAAGGAAAAGTACAAGGTAATTCAACAACCTTAATGGCTGCCTATCTTTAAAATGAATATGGCATTGCCGGGTAAGCACCCAAGAAACATTTCCCTTGGAGGCGCCACAAACTTTGATAATGTGCTGGAATGATCCACCCAGACACAAGATAACATAGTGTTGCAAGGAATCTATCCAAAAATAACATTGCTCAATCAATGATATGTCTTTAACGGTGGGGGCTGGCCATTAGAGGTTGCTAGGGAGCCGCCCCACCCACCCAATCACCTTCATTAAGACATAAAAGAAAATCAAATTAAAATGAAATTACAAAATTTAAATATTTTTCAAAATATATTGATATTAGATGTGCAAGAAATATATAGGATTTGGATAGAAAAAAAGGATAGAAATGTAACTTTATTGATCTCACAACGGAGAAATGAACTCTCTGCATTTAACCCATCCCCTTGGGGAGCAGTGGGCTGCCACTATGCAGCGCCCGGGGAGCAGTGTGGGGTTAAGGGTCTTGCTCAGGGACCCAGAGTGCAGGCTGTGAGGATCAAAACGGGTACATGCAACCTTCTCAGACCACAGGTGCACTTCTCTAACCACTAGGCCAACACTCCCAACAAGATGGC